TGAGGCTGGTGACCTGGCACAGGCCTCCCTCACTCAAATCAAATTCAGCCACAAGTCCTGTCCTCATCTCCCTGATGTCATGGTCCTCTTTGAGAAGGAAGGACAAATCACAGCCACACAAGGTCTTTTACTGATGGTCAGCTTTTTTGTTGTTCAGTTGTGACCGACTCTTTGTGACCCCGTTTGGGGTTTTCTTGGCAAAGATACTGGAGGGGTGTGCCATTTCCTTCTCCAGGTCATTTGACAGATGAGGAAACTGAGGCAGACAAGGGTAAGTGGCCTGCCCAGAGTCACACAGCTTTATAAGTATCTGAGGTCAGATTGGAGTCTTCCCGACTCCAGGCCCAGCTCTGCCCCGATACTCAACTAGAATGGTGATTTGAAGGCTCCACCCAGCAATGGTGATTATACCCATTGAATGCCCGGGGCATTCTTGTCCACGTCTACCCCCGTTTTTGCTTTAAGGAATCCTCTGAACATGCTGGCAGCTTTTTAACATTGTGAGGGGATCAGTCAGGTACTCCAGCTGTCTGCCTGTCATACCTCCTCTCCTGACCAACTCATCTTTGCTTCATTTTTTTTTTTTGGTGAGGCTGTCAGGGTTGAGTGACTTGCCCAGAGTCACACAGCTGGTGAGTGTCATGTGTCTGAGGCCGGATTTGAACTCAGGTCCTCCCAGCTGCCCCTCATCTTTTCTTCTAATAGTATTTTTCCTTACTAGGAACAGGCATCTTATGTGACATGTGCTGTGTGCCAGGCACTGTTCTAAGCATTTTAGAGATCTTATCTCATTTGATACTCCCAACCCCTGAGAGGTAAGTGCTGTTATAGCCCCATTTTGCAGTGGAGGAAACTGAGGCAAGCAGAAGTTAAGTGCCTTGCCCAAGATCACACTAGAGCTAGTAAATGTCTGACGAGGAATTTTAATTCAGGTCTTCCTGTCTGTAGTCTCATCACTCGATCCACTGCTCCACTCCACTGCCTTTTCTTCCTTAAAGTTTCTCACATACACTTCTATAAACATACTTGTAGAGATAGATTTATATGTATATGTATGGGACAGACAGTAGGTATGGACAACAAGTTAGGCCTAAAATTGTGGCCTCTACTCCCTTGGAATCCACAGTTGAGTGTGTTCAAGAGATCTTTCATTTTCCCTGAATTTAATTTTCAGCTTTTTGTTCCCCACAGTGTCTGATTTCTTTCCCTTTGTGTAGGGATTCCTGCTTCCAGGCTGGATATGGTCTCCCTGTTGGAGACAGGAGCAGCAGCATGGAGGCCCAAGGAAGGAGGCTCCAGAGGCTGTTATCCAGGTGAGCGAGTGACAGCCAGGCAAATGGGACTCATTGCATGTATCAGTTAGGTGGCTGCACCTTGGCAGTGGTATTCCTAGCTCCAAGGAGGGTTTACTTCTTACTGCATTGCCTTCTAAAAGGTTGAGCCATTTCCTAGCTCGAGCATTTGTGTAAAATCGTGTCCTTTCCCCAAAGCTCATGTTGTGGTGGTGGTTCAGCCAGGCCCTTCTATCCTGCAAGCCCACATTCCTTGTTTCCATGACACTCTATCCATGTCATTCTTTGCCTTCCCCTTTTCCTTTCACCTTCAATGTGGCCAGAATATTTCCACTTCAGCTTCAGTATTTGGCTGTACAATGAATAGTCTGAATTAATTTCTTTAAAGCATTGAGTGATTTGATCTCCTTGCAGTCCAAGAGACTCTCAAAAGCCTTCAGCATCACAGTTTGGAAGCACCGATTCTGCAGTGCTCAGGTTTCCTTGTAGTCCAGCTGTCACAGCCATACATTGCTACTGGAAAAACTCATAGCTTTGACCGTGCAGACCTTTATGGACAAGGCGACGTCTCTGCTTTTTAGTCTGCTGTCCAGATTTGCCAAAGCTTTTCTTCCGAGGAACAACCATCTTTTAATCTCATGGCTGCAGTCATCATCTGCAGTGATCTCTGAGCCCAAGAATAGAAAACCTGACACTTCTTCCCTTTCTTCTCCCTCTGTTTGCCAGGAAATGACGGGACCAATTGCCCAGATCTTGGTCTTTTTTTTTTTTTGATGTGAAGCTTCAAGCCAGCTTTTGCACTCTCCTCTTTCGCCCTCTTCACTTTCTGCCATCAGAGTGGCACCATCTGCATGTCTGAGATGGCTGATATTTCTCTCGGCAGCCTGGATTCCAGCTTTTGATTTGTCCAGCCTGGCATTTTGCATGATGTATTCTGCATGTAAGTTAAATAAGGTGTCATGATACATCCTTGTACTCTTTTTCCAAACTTAAACCAATCAGTTGTTCCATGTTCAGTTCTCACTGTTATTTCTTGACCCACATACAGTTTTCTCAGGAGACAAGTAAGGTGATTTGGTCCTCCCATGTCTGAGCACTTGCCACATTTTGTTGTGATCCACACAGTCAGAGGCTTTAGTGTAGTCAATGAAGCAGAAGTAGATGTTTTTCTAGAACCCCCTTGCTCTCTCCATAATCAGTGAATGTTGGCAATTTGGTCTGTAGTTGCTCTGCCTCTTGGAAAACCAGCTGACGCCTAGCTTGCAGAATCTTAAACGTAACCTTGCTGGCAGGTGAAAGAGGGCATTTGTTCAGTAATTTGAATATTCCTTCCTAAAGAAGGGTGTTGCCCTTCTTTAGGGGTGGAATGTCAATGGATCTTTTCCATTCCAGTGGCCGCTGTTGAGTTTTCCAAATTTGCGTATTGACTACAGGACTTTAACAGCATCATCTTTTAGGGTTTTAAACAGCTCAGCTGGAATTCCATCCCCTCCACCAGCCTTATTGTTAGCAGTGCTTCCTGAGGCCCACTTGACTTCATTCTCAGGGATGCCTGGCTCTACCTCAATAATCACACCATTGTGGTTATTGTGACGTTAAGGTCTTTCTTGCATAGTTCTTTTGTGTATTCTTGCCACCTCTTCTTAATCTCTTCTGCTTCTATTAAGTCCTTACCATATTCATCTTTTGTCATGTCCATTTTTGCATGAAACATTCCCTTGATTATCTCTAATTTTTTTTGAAGAGAAAAATCTTATTTCTCCTTGCCCTTTTCTGGAATTCTGCATTCAGATGGGCGTATCTTTCCCTTTTTCCTTTACCCTTTGGTTTCCTTCTTTCTTCAGCTATTTGTAAAGTCTCATCAGAAAGCTATTTTACTTTCTTGCTCTTCTTTTTCTTTGGAATATTTTTTGTTGCTGCCTCCTGTACAGTATTGAGAATCTCTGTCCTTAGTTCTTCAGGCACTCTGTCTACCAGATCTAATGCCTTAAATCAATTCATTTCCTCCCTAGCTCCACCAGTATTAAATTTTATAGCTTTCCCTTTTAATTTAATTGATTTCATATTGTATCCCAGATCTTTTAATTTAGATTTTTACATTTATTATAAAGTTTAAAGTTTCCTTGTTAATTCTATTATTTTGTGTTTTTTTAAGTAATTTTATGTTTTTCTGTTTTGTTGATTTCTTTCATTCGAATATCACTTCATTATCAGCTGTATCCTTCTCCCTTCTCTGTGTAAACAAGCTATCCCTTGTAACAAAGAGTATGAACAAAAGAGAAAAAAGAAAATAATGTTTGAACAAACCAACACATCTGAGTCTGAGAGTATATGTTATACTGCAACCATAGTTCTCCACCTGTGCAAAAAAGTAGGGGGAGGTATATTATCTCCTGTCTTCTTTGGGACCAAGCTTGGTCATTATAATTATATCGTATTAAATTCACTTTTTTTGTTCTTTACATTCATATTATTCTTAAATTGATTAATTGTGTCTTTCTCTTTGTGACCCCATTTGGAGTTTTCTTGGCAAAGATACTGGAGTGGTTTACTATTTCTTTCTCTAGCTCATTTTACAGTTGAGGAACTGAGGCAGATAGAGTTAAGTGACTTGCCAAGGGTCACTTAACTAGTAAGTGTCTAAGGCTTGATTTGAACTCAGGTCCTCCTGGCTTCAGGGCCTTCATTCTATCCACTGCACCACCTAAGTCCCACACTTTTATATTGTATTCAGTTTATATATTGTTTTTCTGGCTTATTTCATGCTGTGACAATTCATGTAAGTCTTTTCTGAGTTTTTTATGTTTGTCATATCTTAATATGAAGTAGTAATAAATAATCCATTACATTTATGTATGGTGATTCGTTAAGCCATGTTTAATTGATGGATATCTACTTTGTTTCTAGTTCTTTGCTTACACCTGAAATACTTTTATGAATAATTTAGTGTATATGGAATCTTTCCCTCTGGCTTTGACCTCCTAGGTGTATATACACCTAACAGGTAGTTCTCTGGGTCAAAAGGCATGGATATTTTAACCACCTTCTGAACATAATTTCAAATTACTTTTAAAAATGGTTGGACTATTTCATCACCCTGATCTTTTTCGTGTGATTCCTTTGCTGATGATACCCAGTTAGAGACGGTGTTGTCAGGATAAAGTCTTGGGCCTTCTCTCCTCTGAAGAGACCTTGGCTTGTTATTAGATGTACTAAATTACTAAATGTAATTCATTTAGTCCTAAACAGCAAGGTGCTCACTTACAATATCCTCAATGGGCGTGATTAGAATTTTCCTGTTTGCTCTACCTGGTCCAAATTGAGTGCTATTCTCATTACCAGAAGAGACTGAACTAGACTATGGCCTGAACAGATGGTCAGTAGGGATGTTACTTTCTGTTTGTCTCTTCCAGATTCCCTTAGTGAAGGCACCAGGTTTGAAATCAAGGACTCTAGCCTGACTCAGAATATTTATGTGGCAATGTCATTGAAAAAAAGAATGCCAAATGAAACTGTCTGGTATTTTAACATGAAAGACTCCAGGGAATGTGAAATTAATTCAGACAAACACAATTCAGACTGGAGAGACAGTCCAGAGAAGTAACAATCATTTATAGAAGAAATTTAAATAAAACAGGTATACCTCAATATAATACACATGAGAGAAGTTTTAGTCTGCTATCAGTCTCTGCACTCCGGAGAGGGACTATGAGGAAAAGTGTTCCTAAGTGTAAAACTGTTGGAAAGAGCATTACAGATTCTTCAGTCTTCTTCTTAGGGAAGAACCTTCCCAAGTGCAGCAAATTCAGGAAGCCCTTCAGTTACCACTCAGACCTAATTAAATTTCATAGAGAGCAGGCTGAAGGGAAGCTACACAAAGACAATGAATGTGAAGTAGCCTTTGGCAGAAAATCAAATTTTACTGGACACCAGAGAATTCATCCTGGAAAGAAGCTTTCTGAGAGGAATAAATATTGGAAAACCTACAGTTGCCAGGGAAGATCGATTAAACATAAGAGAGTTAATGGCATGGTGAAATCCTTTGAATGTAGTGAATGTGGGAAAGAATTCAGCCTGAGGGGATCCCTCATTTCTCATCAGAGGATTCATAGGAGAGTGAAACCTTTTGAATGCAATGAATGTGGGAAAACCTTCAGTATAAGGGGAAGCCTGAACAGACATCAAGGAATCCATACGGGAGAAAAACCTTTTGTATGTAATCAATGTGGGAAAGCATTCAATATTAAGGAAACCCTGAATAGACATCAGAGAATTCATACTGGAGAGAAACCCTTTGAATGTAATGAATGTGGAAAAGGCTTTAGCCAGAGGGCCAACCTAGTTAGGCATCAGAGAACTCATACTGGAGTGAAACCTTTTGTATGTAGTGAATGTGGGAAAGCCTTCAGTACAAGGGGAAGTCTTAATAGACATCAGAAAATTCATACTAGATTGAAACTCTTTGAATGTGGTGAATGTGGAAAAGCCTTCTACAAGAAAGGAAAGCTTATTATACATCAGAAAACACATATTAAACTTAAACTGTTTGTGTGTAATGAATGTGGAAAAGATTTCAGACAGAGAGCAGACCTAATTTATCATCAGAGAACTCATACTGGAGAAAAGCCCTTTGTTTGTAATGAAAGTGGGAAAGGGTTCAGAAGGAGAGCAGACCTCAGTAGCCATCAGAGAACTCATACTGGAGAGAAGCCTTTTGAATGTAGTGAATGTGGAAAGGCCTTTAGTCAGAGAGCACGCCTCATTTATCATCAAAGAACTCATACTGGAGAGAAAGCATTTGGATATAATGAATGTAGGAAAGCATTTAGCAAGAGGACAAAACTTATACATCAGAAAACACACACTAGATTAAAACCCTTTGACTGTAATGAATGTGGGAAGCTTTCAGCAAGATGGAAAAGCTTAATATACATCAGAGAATGCATGATGGAGAGAAATCTTTTGAATATAATGAATGTAGGAAAGCATTTAGCAAGAGGAGAATACTTATACATCAGAAAACATGCACTGGACTAAAACCCTTTGAATGTAATGAATGTGGGAAAGCTTTTAGCCAGAAGACACACCTCATTTATCATCAGAGAACTCATAGTGGAGAGAGACCCTTTGAATATAGTGAGTGTGGAAAAGCCTTCAGTGAGAATAAAATGCTCAGAAGACATCAAGGAACTCATACTGGAGTCAAAACCTTTGAATGCAATGAATGTGGGAAACATTTCAGGTGGAGGACAAACCTTATTACCCATCAGAGAACTCATGTTGGGGAGGAATACTCTGAATGTGATGAATGTGGGAAAGCCTTCTCCAAGAGAAGAAGGCTTATTATATATCAGAAAACACATACGAAACTCAAACTTTTTGTGTGTAATGAATGTGAGAAAGGGTTCAGAAGAAGAGCCGACCTTATTACCCATCAGAGAACTCATACTGGGGAGAAACCCTTTGAATATAATGAATGTGGGAAAGTTTTCAGCCAGAGTGGAACTGTTATTGGCCATAACAGAACTCATACTGGAGAGAAGCCCTTTGCACGTAATGAATGTGGGAAAGCCTTCAGCTGGAAAACAAGCCTTATTATTCATCAGAGGACTCATACTGGAGAGAAAGCCTTATAATGCATGGATGTAGGGAAAGTCTTAAGCAATTGCATTTAAAAGCCATCAAAGAACTCAAAAGAATTCACACTGGAGAAGAGGCCTTTGTAGTGAATATAGGAAAGGCTTCAGCTGGAAGGAAGTCTTGTTACATGTAGAAAACTCATACTGGGGAAAAATCCGCTGATTATAATGAATGGAAAAGGCTTCATCAAGACGTCATGCTGGAGAGAATGGTATCCAGTGAATCAATCAAGTATTTATTAAGTGCTTACAACAATGTCAGACAATATGCTAAATAGTGGGGATACAGAGGTAAAAGAGATTTAGTCCTTTCCCTCAAAGAGTTTACATTCTAATCCAGGAGACAGCATGTGGATGTGTAAGCCTGTTTGTGGCATGTACAAAACAAATGCAAGTTGGTTTAGGGAGGGTACCAGTGGCTGGGAGACCTAAGAATCCATGTAATAATGTGGTACTTGAGCTGACATCTGAAGGAAATAGGAATTCTAGGGGTGGAGGTGAGGAGGGAATGAATTTTAGGCATGGAAGGGAGCCAGCCTGAAGACTCAGAGACAAGAGATAGAATAGCCCAATATGGCAGCATTGCAAAGTTTGAGAAGATGAGTAATGTGTAAGATTGGAAAGGTAGGAAGGGATCAGAATGTAAAAGATTTAATGTCAAACAGGAGAATTTATTTGGTAATGGTAGCTAGCACTGATATAGCACTTAACGTGCTTTGTAAATGATGAGATATGGGCCCAAGCTGAGACCTTTGCCCATCACCCTAAAAAGAATTTGGGTCCCATTTGTCTATGAGCCCCAGAAAACCCTTGAACTTTCTTTGAACTCACTTCCTCACTTCCTCTGGCAGTTGCCTGAAGCTATTATCCTAAACCCAATCTCCCAATTCTTTGTTACTCTAATTAAGCCTAGCCCTCCATTGTCTATTACAGGATGGGAGGCCCCCCCCCCACTTCCTATCCTTGATCCTATCTAGATCCCATTCAACCTCCCAGTCACTCTCATGCAGATCCTCCCTAGACCCTCCAGTTACCCCAGCTTACTAGCTACTCCTATCAGGACACGCCTTCTCCCAGCCCCTTCTCCAGTCACACCAAACTACTTGGCCACTCCTAGATCCCTCCCATGGTCTTTCTGTATATAAGACCCATCCTGGCTCCCATTTAGGGACTGAGACTTCTTCATGCCCATTCATCCTTAGGAGTGTCACAAATGTTTAGATTCCTTAAGAGTCTGGCCAATATGGCGGGTCTTTAATAAACCTTGTCTTTGGATAAAAGAAGGCTTGGGTCAAATTCATTCAGGCAGCACCCACGTTTTGTGAGTTTGGGGTCACAGCACCCCTAACATCTAAACCTCAACAGAAATCTCATTTTATCTTCACAACCCTGGAAGGTAGGTGTTATCATTACTCCTTGCTTTATAGATGAGGAAACGAAGGCAGACTGAGGTTAAGTGACTTGCTCAGGGTTACACAGCTAGTAAGTATCGGAAGCTAGCGTTGAAATTCAGGTCTCCCTGACTTCAGTTCCAGTGCTCTATCCACTGTGCACGTACTTGAGTCGTTAGGGAGCTGCTGGAGTTTGAGAGGGGTTTGGAAGAGAAGAAAAGTAGTTACGTGATCAAACTGGGCTGTTTTTTTTTCTTTTTTTAGTGAGGCAATGGGGTTAAGTGACTTGCCCAAGGTCACACAGCTAGTATGTGTCAAGTGATTGTTCTGAGGCAGGATTTGAATTCAGGTCCTCCTGACTTCAGGGCCGGTGCTCTATCCACTGTGCCACCTGGCTGCCCCATGGGCTGTTTTCAAGATTGTGTGGAGGATGCATTGGAGTGTAGAGAGACGGTACAGGGACACCAATCATAAAGTTATTGGAGTACAGTTGCAAGGTGAAGAAAGTATGCACTAGGGTTGTATCTGTGTGAGTGGAGAGAAGAGGATGTATTTGAAGACACTGCAAAGATAAAAATGACAGCTTGACAATAGATTTGCTTTGTGGGGTGAGTAGGAATGCAGAGCAAGGGAAAACAACATTTTGAGCCCAGGTGAGTAGGAGAATGATGATGCCCTGATCAGTTATAGAAAACTCAGGGAGAAATGAGGATTTTGGGGGAGGTATAATAAGAAGTTTTGTTTTGGACATGTTGGGTTTGAGATGCCTATAGGACATTCATTTGGAAATGTCCAGTACCTGGGTCAGGACTTAGGACAAGAGTTAAGGAGAAAGACCAGACAGGACCTATAGATCACAGCTTCATCTGAATACAAATGATATTTGAATCAATGGGAACTATTGAGATCACTGAGCAATGTAGTGTAGAGTGAAAGAGAAGGCCAGGAGAGAGTCTTGGGGTACATACTCAGTGGTCATGACATGGAAAATGGATCAGCAAGGGAAACTGAGAAGAAGCAGTTTCACAGAAAAGAAACGAGTTCAGAGAGAACAGTGTGGTGAAAACCCAAAGATGATAGAATATTTGAGAGGAGAGTGGTCAGCAGCATCAAATGCTAAAGAGAGATCAAAGAAGATGGAGAAGAGGCTATTTACTTTGATAAGCAATCATTGTTAACTTTGGAAAGAGCAGTAGCAATTGAGTAATTGAAGTCAGAAGCCTTTATACAGGGGTGTGAGAGGAGAGGATGTGGGGGCCCTGAGAACAGACAGATTTTTCCAAGTTGTTTCACCAAGAAAGAAAAGAGATATATGACAATAGCAGAGCTGCTGATACCTGGTGAACATTAATTGTGCTGTGTTGGTAGGCAGCAAGGAAGGAACTAGTGGATAAGGAGAACTAGCGAATGTAGGAAAGTCTTCAGTGATTGAGGAAAGCTTATTAGAGAACTGATATTGAGAAAAAAGCTTTTGAGTGACACAGCAAAGCAGGTTATATTAAAGTAGATGATATTCGATTAGGGGATGGCTAAACACATTCTGATACATGAATATAATGGAATATTCCATGGTGCAAGAAATAATACAGAGAGGCAGCTAGGTGGCACAGTGGTTAGAGCACCAGCCCTGGAGTCAGGAGGACCTGAGTTCAAATCCAGCCTCAGACACTAGCTAGCTATGTGACCTTGGGCAAGTCACTTAACCCCCATTGCCTCCAAAATTAAAAAAAAAGAAAAGAAAAATAATAACAGAATTAAAAGAAACATGGAAAGATGTGAAAAAGAAGAAATAAGAAAACAATTTATGTAAGAGCTACAGCAACATAAATAGAAGCAACAAAACCCCCCTGAATTCTGTGTTATTATAATGATTGATTTGACCCCAAGAGTATGAAAGAATAGCTGCCTCTGTAGCAGGGGAGGGAGACTATGGATGGTTAACATTGCATGGCTCTCTGGCCATCTTCATGCCATGTCTCTTTGCTCCATCTTCTCACTTTCTGTCCTAGGACCAGGAAATACAAGTCAATCAGTTGCACTGTGGCTCTGCTGTATCTGTGACTTTTCAGAAGCAGTTAGGCCTCCTGACCACTGTTGTCCGTATATTGCCTTTGCATATCAGAATGAAAGCTCCTTGAGGACAGGCACAGTCTTGCTTTTTGTAGTTTTATCCCTAATGCTTAGTGCAGCGCCTGGCAAGTAATAAGTGCTTAATGAATGTTTGCGGGTTTTTTTTCATTCATTCATTGCATATATTATAAAATTTGCTAGAGGTGGTAATGGACTAGAAGTGCAGAATAAGATACCCTTTTCCAGTAATAGCATTGTGTCATTTGTTTTGTTTAACTATACTTGTTATAAGGAGGGCTTTTATTGGCAGGGATAGATGTAAGAGGGATGGGGTGAATTTTGATGCAAAAAAAAAAAAAGCAAAACCAGAAAAGAGCAAAAGAACATTCCAAAGGGGACAGAGATATTCATGGTAGTGGTGATACTGTCCAGTCAAATTAAATATATAATCTTTTTTTTTTAAACTGTGCATAATAAAGATTCATGGTTTCGTATGTGGTCCTCTTTCTGGTTTTTGTATATTGAAATTGAAATAAAATGTATGTTGAAATGTTTGTTGTTCATGTTAAGTTCATAATAAATAATTGAATTCTTAATTTTCCCTCTGTTACAAAGGATGGCTTTCTGTGTTAAGTATAGAAAAGGTGCTATGAAATTAAATCTGTATAAAAACTTGTGAAATCAATCAAGATATATTTTAAGTGCCTTTTTTTTTGGCCAAGCACTATGGTAAGTGTCAGAGATACAAGTACAAAGAATGAAATTCTCTATTAGAAATTAGCTTATATTCTTATGTGGGAGACAAGTATAAATCCATATATATGTGTGTATATATACATATACATATATATATATAACAGAATAAATATAAAGTTGGCTATACACATACATACAATGTAGTTAAATTGAACATGATTTGGAAGGGCATTACTCCTTCAAGGATGAGGAAGAACTTCTTGCAGAAGATGGTACTCAAACTACATCTTTTTTTTTAAGGTAAATTGTTGTTTATTCTCAAAAAGCTATTTTATCAGCAAATAGTTCAAATACACTCTACATTAATCCTTTTTTTAAATATGAATTTATTTTGATTTATCAACAATCACTTCCTTAAGCTTTTGAGTTTTAAATTTTTCTCCCCCTCCCTCCCCAAGATGGCATGCAATCTGATATAGGCTATACGTACACATTCCTATTAAACATATTCTCACATTAATGATGTTGTAAGTAAGAATTAGAACCAATAGGAACCACCAGAAAGAGGAAACAAAACACAACAGAAGAAAAAAATAGCAAATAGTATGCTTCGATCTGCATTCAAACTCCATGGTTCTTTGGATGTGGACAGCATTTTCCATCGCAAGGCCTTTGGAGATGTCTTAAATCCTTCTATTGCTGAGAAGGGTTAAGTCTATCAATATTAGTCATCGCACAACATGGCTGTTACTGTGCATAATGTTTTCCTGGTTCTGCTCACTTCACTTAGCACCAGACCATACAAGTCTTTCCAGGTTTTTCTGAAGTCTGCTGCTCATTATTTCCTATAGCACAGTATTATTCCATTACATTCATATACCACAACTTGTTCAGCCATTTCCCCAATTGATAGGCATCCTCTCAATTTCCAATTCTTTGCCACCACAAAAAGAGCTGCTATAAATATTTTTGTACATGTGGGTCCTTTTCCCATTTGTATGATCTCTTTGGGATACAGCCCTAGAAGTGATATTGCTGGATCAAAGGGCCCAAAGTACATCTTAAAGGAAGAGACTGACTCTATAAGGCAGAGGTAAGGAGGAAGAGCTTTCCAGGCATGGGGTGATGATCAATGAAAAGGTGCAGAGATAGGATGTTCAGTGTTGTGGGTGAAGAACAAGGAGAAGGCTAATTTGGCTAGATTTCAGAGTGGGAATAATGTCCAGTGAGGCTGGAAAGGTAGGTTAAGGCCAGGTTGTAGAGGGTTTTAAAAGCTAAAGGAAGAGTTTATTCCAAAGGCAGTAGGAAGCCACTGGATTTGTTTGAGTGGAGGAGTGATATGGTCAGATCTGGGATTAAGGAAAATCACTTAGCAGCAATGTGTAGAACGGGACAGGAGTGGTGAGAAACTCGAAGTAGAAAGGCCATGTAGAAGACTTGCAGTGATCTAGGTGAAAGGAGGAAGGCATTAACTAAGATGGTAACTGTGAGTCAAGAGAAGTAGTTGGATGTAAGAGAAATGTGCAGATACAACGAGATTTAGCAACTGGATATGTGGAGTAAGAAAGTCAAGCATATCAAGTTGAAAAGTAAGATTTTGGAAGGGTAGTGGTACCTTTGACAGAAACAGGGAAGTTTGGAAGAGGAAAGGGTTCAGGGTCAAAGATAGTAAGTTTTAAGCATGTTGAGTCTAAGCTGTTTCTGGGATATCTAGTTTGAAATGTCTGAGAGGCAGTTGGTGATACAGTACTGAAGCTTGGGGAAGAGACAGCTGAATCTGGAAAATCAT